ATAAAAATGGTTAATTTTCTATCGTGGGACTCTCATCTCAAAAATTTGCTTATAATTGTTAAAATAGGGGCTGGGGTGTAGGTCAGTAGTGTTGTACTTGGCTAGAATGCGTGAAGCCTTGGGTGTGATCCCTAGCATTGTATAAAATTAGGCATGGTGGTAAACACCTCTGACGCCAGGACTTGGGAGTTAGAGGAAGGGGATCAGTTCAAGGCCAGCTGGGTGAGGTGGCACACACCTTTAATCCCAGCACTCAGAAGGCAGAGGCAGGTGGACCTCTGAGTTCACGGCTAGCCTGGTCCATACCGAGTTCCAAGACAACCAGAGCTACATAGTGAGACCCTGTCTAAAGGGGGAGGGAGTGGGGATATCACTCTGTACAGCACTTGCCTAGACTATCCAGGGCCCTGGGTTCTACCCCAGTACCACATAGGCAGGTGCACACCCCCTACACCTGAAGAGGAGGTACTTAGGGAAGGACCATGGTGCCTGTACATAAAGCATCTAACTTTGAATAATAAAAACAGACTTAGAAGCTGCCTTAGTTAGTTTTCCTTTGCTATGATAAAACACCATGACCACGGGGTGGTGGTAGCACACGCTTTTAATCCCAACACTCGGGGAGGCAGAGGGAGGCAGATCTTTGTGAGGGCGAGGCCAGCCTGGACTACAGAGCGAGATCCAGGAAAGGCACAATGCTACAGAAACCCTGTCTCAAAAAACCAAAAAAACCAAAACAAAAACAACAACAACAAAAAAAACCACCATGACCAAGGCAACTTATAAAAGAACGCATTTAGTTGGGGGTTTGCTTATGGTTTCAGAGGTGAATCCACTGTCATCATGGAGGGGAGTGTGGCGCCAGGCAGGTAGGCATGACACTAGAGCCTTATCTGAGCCACAAGCAGGGTCCAGCTTGGGCTTTTGAAACCTCAAAGCCCAGTGACACACCCGCCCCAACAAGGCCACACCTCCTAATCCTTCCAGAACAGTTCCATCAAACATGGAACAACTACTAACTGTGGTTCCTACTAACTGTGAGCCTGTGTGAGCCATTCCCTCTCCCTGCCACAGGAGCCAAGGATGCGGCTTGGTGATAGCGCTCTTGCCCAACATGGGACAGGTCGTGGGGTCCTCCCATCCCTGCCACATATCCTTTTGGGGAGCCTCACAATCTTTCTGTTGTTTGCAGATTTGTTTTTGAGACAGCATCTCATGTAGTCCAGGCTAGTTCAAATTAGATATATATAATTGAAGATGACCTTGAACTTCTGACCGTCTTCTACCTCCTACATGCTAAGACAATAGGTGTGCACCATTATGGCCAAATTAAAATGCTGAGAATTGAACTCAGGGCTTTGTGGATGATAAGCAATCACCGTACCAAGGGGGCCACATCACCAGCACCCAAATTTTCTTTCTTTCTTTTTTTTTTTTTTTTTTTGTTTTTTGAGACAGGGTTTCTTTGTGTAGCTTTGCGCCTTTCCTGGAACTCACTTGGTAGCCCAGGCTGCCTCGAACTCACAAAGATCCTCCTGGCTCTGCCTCCCAAATGCTGGGATTAAAGGCATGCGCCACCACCGCCCGGCTTAAATTTTCTTTTAATAAGTACAAAAGTCCAATCCTACCTTTGATTGTTGCCTGTACTCTTAAGACAAGAAAGGGCTTCTTTTCTCTGTGCATGTTTTTGCCTTAAGCCAGGACCTCTAGCCTGGCTAGACTTCTCACAGTGAGTGTTACCTTTCATATTTACAGCAAGAGGCTAAGTTGTTTGCCTGAGGTCACAGAACCAGGAAATAGCTGAGACCCAGGCCCGCGTCCTCCCTTCCACGCTCATGTTCTCCCTCTCTCTTCGTCTAGACCGGCATTCTCAAAGCTGGAGGACTCCTTTGAGGCACTGTCTCTGTACCTGGGAGAGCTGGGCATCCCACTGCCAGCGGAGCTGGAAGAACTGGACCACACTGTGAGCATGGAGTACGGCCTGACCCGGGACTCGCCACCCTAGCCCTGGTCCATCCCCCTGCAGGGGGACAGTCCACGGCCAGCATTGCCCCCTCTGCGCCCTGTCCTTGCTAGGAGCAGGACTGTCTAGGCTTCCTGTGGATTGACGGCTTGCTTAGAAGCAGAATAAGCCATCCCTACTACCTCCCCAGGAGGCGTGCGGGTGCAGGGAACGTTCTCCACAGGCGCTGGGGCCTGTTACTGTGTAAATCCGACACTCGCCTGAAAGCTGTGAAGAAGATAAAAGCCTGGATTCTAGACCAGGAGTCTGTTACTAGGAACCACTTGGGACCTTTGTGGCAGTGAGATTCTGGGAGGCTGTAGCTTTACACTAATCAACACGGCCTGGGCCTGCTGGGCAGGATGACAGAATGAACTGGCCGGAGGGCTCTGGAGTCTCTGGTCCAGCGCGGTGCAGGACTCCAAGCGGTAGTGAGTCACAGAACTGGGAGCTTCAAAGCACGTGGAACGACAGTAGTGATTTCTCCTCCCACTCCAGGCCCTGCCCTCTGGAGCAGGTTCTGAAGAGTCTCTTAGTATGTGGTGGAACCCACAGGATCCAGAAAAAAGACTGGTTTCTGCTCACCAGCCCAGGGCCCCCATCAGAGTGTGGGAGTTTCCACTTCAACACCCTGTCTCACCAAGCGGTCCCTCACGCAAGCCCCGAGAAGCTGGGGCTGGAAAGAGAGCGCTCCTGCCCTTTACAAAGCCCCATTCCTGGCTGCTGGGCTCAGTCAAAAGCTCAAGACATTGTCTGATGCTAGATGGGTTCTGGAGGCCAATGTGGTCTGTCTCAGACCCTGGGTCTCAGCAGGGAAAGGGGAGTCCCGTCGGTTCCTTGGCATCCTTGTGGCAGCTACTGCACATCTCTAGCATGTCTGGTCCAGGCAGCAACTTGGGACAGGAATTGTTGGCTGTTGAGTCCCAAAGCTGAGATATGACGAGAGCTCCCTGAGCTGGGCCCTCTTGATTCTACCTCCCTTGTTGCTGGTCCAGCTCTTACTTCCTGAGCCACACTCCGGGGCCACGGGCATTGGAACCCCTCAGGGCACCTTCCACCCCTGGCTGCCATGTGTCCAGGGACTCTCCAGCTCACCAAGGTTCGCCATCTCCTAAGTGGGAGCTCACACCGTATTTAACAACTTGGGATTGGGTTTGGTTATAAATACAATGTGTGGTGGGTTGTTCCGGTGGGGGGATCGGGAGAGTGATTGCTGTTCCTAGCCTTTATCTGTTGGGTGAGATGTGAACTATTGTATATAGACAAGATGAATTGTGGGGTGGGCAGTCAGCTCTGGCCACCTGCCTTGCTGTGTAGACTGCACCTGGGTGTGGAGTTTGCCAACTTGCTGTGGGGGATCCTGAACTCCCGGCATGGGTCAGCTTCCTGTGACTGGCTACGCTTGAGCTGTCCCGGCAAGTGTGGGAGTGGCGGGCCTGCTGGGCCATGAATCAGACTAAATAAATTAAGCAGTTAACATAGTGATGAGACCGAGAGTGGAAAAATAACTTAGGGCCTGACTTAAAGAAGCATGGAGGAGTTGGAGAGATTAAGCCGTTAACCGCAATTACTGCTCTTGCAGAGGACCAAGGTTCCCAGCATCCCCATGATGGCATATAACCATCTATAACTCCAGTTCCAGGGGTATTCAGCATCGCTTACGTCTGTGGGCTCCTGCACACATGTAGTACACATATATACTCTCAGGCACATACATTCACATCACATTTTGTTTAGAATTTTTTTAAAAAAACACGGTCGTCTGTCTACCGTGAGGCCCAAGCCACGTAAGTCCTCACATCAGGGAGTTCTCCGTCTCCAGTCTAATCCCCTTCCCTAGACGGCAAACCTTCAGAGGTCATGCACAGCCACTCGATGCAGCCCCCTCTGTGGAGCAGGTCGATAACCTTATTTTAGCCCCACAAAGCTATTAGGCCTGGCTCTCAGCTGCTGACCTGGTCCTCAGGGGCCTTCTGCTTCCAAAGCTTCTACACCAGACTACTGGGCCAAGTGATTCCACTGTTTGGTGAGGTCCTGGGCACAAAAACAAACCTACAACTTGTGCCCAGTGTGGCAGTCTGTTTATAAACCTGCACTTGAGATACAGAGGCTGGAAGATCACCGTGAATTCAAGGCCAGCCTAGTCTTCTTAGCATCGGGCCAGCTAGGGCAACAGCCAGAAATTTTTCTATAAACCTAAAGATAATTTCTCCTAAGCATCATGTGGTTGAAAATTTCTGATTAAGAGTGGAATCTAGCTGGGCAGTGGTGGCGCAATCCTTTAATCCCAGCATTCCGGAGGCAGAGGCAGGTGGGTCTCTGTGAGTTCCAGGCTAGCCTGGGCTACCAAGTGAGTTCCAGGAAAGGCACAAAGCTACACAGAGAAACCCTGTCTCGAGGGAAAAAAAAAAAAAAAGAGTGGAATCTAGCCCCTAGTAAACAACTGATGACCTGAGGTTCCCATTGCTGAAAACATTTAGAGCAATGTCTGAGCATGGGCAAGGTCACCCTGGCTGGATATACCTAGAACTTAACCCGTTACTGAGGTCCACCGCTAAAACTTGAAGACGCCCCACACACTACTCAGCCCTTCCCAGCTCAGTGGCTTCCCTCCTAACCCTAGGAACAACCTGCAAGAACCATCCTCAGCCCCAGGCAGCCCATCTACCTGTTTCTCCTTCGGCTGCCTGCATGGGATTGCCAATTGCCCTTGTTTCTAGTCCCCAACAAAAGCTGTTGGGAGAGTTCATCCTAACTCCTCTACCTTGGAAAGAACACTAAAGGAGAGAAGATTTAAGGGATCAATTTGTAGTTTCAACCTTAAGATATTCATGGTGACCTTGACAAGGGGGGGGGGGAATGGATGGGGAGGCTGCAGTTTGTAGCAGTTCAGCTCTTACTACCTCCCAGTGACTGGGCCACTGTGTTCCGAGAAGGCATAGGTATGGACAGGTACTGGGGGAGCATTCCCAGCACCACAAAAATGTGGCAAGCAGAGTTGTGTTTTGTGTTTATATAAGTCAAATGCAGAGCAATTTCCCACAGTTAATACACAGGTGTCAGAATGAGGTATATAAAACATACACACAGAGAAGTACTTTCATAGAAAAGTAGGAAGTAGTACTGTTCTCTTTCCCATAGTCACTTCCACCATGGGAACCCTGAGGTCTAGGCCCCCTCAACAGCTGGCTCCAGGCAGCAGCGTGGGGAAGGGAGTGGACCCCACCCACCCTCTCTGTGTTGGGCAGTAGAGAGCGCCTGGCTGGGGACACTGCTAAGGCCAGGAGGCTGGGGACTCCCGGCCATCCAGAAGTTGCTTTGATCTTGGGCAAGACGCTTTCCCTCTCTGGAGACCCTGAAGGTCCTTCCCAGCGCTTGCTTCAGTGATTGTTTTGTGCACGTTGCAAGCCCAGCCCTGTGGAAGGCACTGGCCTGGAGGCCATCGGGCTGCTGTGAGCCCCTCTGCCTTTGTTACCGGGCCTCTGGTCTTACTCTGGTCTGACTGTGTGATTCCCATGGGTGGGCTGGCTATTCTCTTATCAGCACAAAATGGAGAGGTTCCTATCCACCCCTGAAGAGACCATCTGAAGACCCAAGTCTGAGGCTGAAGACAGAAGGGGGCCCTTCTCCTGTGTCTTCCTAAGCGGAATGTTTAGTGCAATTCTGCCCTTTCTTTACAAAACAGGAAGAGTCCCTTGGGCCCAGGCCTGGCCCACAGTTATCAAGGCACATCACTGCCAGCAAGCTGGGGCACAGCCAGTAGCCCCCATCTAGAATCCACTTGCAGCCCAAAGTTCTGACTGTTGTATAAATTCATTTCTGGTTCTCAGAAGTCAGAAGGGACCTCCTATCCCAAATACTATATATATATATATTGTTTTTAATGCTGCCTCATGCATGACCTGTTTGACCTTAACTATGAATAACAGTATACGCCACTCAAGTTCCTGGGTGACAAATGGGAAGGCAGAGGATGAGGCCACCTTAGGTGTACAGCACCTTCGGTGTCTCCCTGGTTCAGGCAAGGTGGAAGCCCTTAGGTGCCACAGCGCCACCGTGGCCACTGTGCCGGTCACCATCCACAGGCAAACCCTGCTCCAAGGGATAGAAAAGAGCACTGAGGAGCCCTACCCAGCCTCCTCACACTCACCCATAATGCCACTTGCTTCTGCTTGTGTCATGAGGAGTCGCATCTCCCGCTCAAAAGAAAAATGGGATAGGGTTTCAACCACAACACAAAAGGTAGCTCCTCCCAGCTGCAGGAGGGTAGCCTGTCCTGTACCGGTGTCTGCAGGGGCACCTGCCCACCGAAGGGGCTCAGGCCCCAGGGGTGCCAGCCTGGCCCACAAGGAGGGTGCTGCCCTCCTGAGGGTCAGCAGGAGTCTGGTTGCTGTGTACAATGATGGTCTTTTCGTCCGTCGTCTCACAGGTAGGGTTGGTGAAGGCGGACAGCGGCAGGGTGATTCGCTGCATCTCCCTCTCACACACTCGCTGCTCGCGTTGCTCTTTCAGGTCCTTCCCCCTGTCAGGAAGAGAAAACACTCAGGGTGTGCTTCCATCATGGCTTTGCTCAATTAACTTCCCAAAGCTGGAGCAGGAGCTCGCCCTGGTGACGAATCACCTGACCAAGCCCGGACTAACGCCAACCCAGGCCCAAGACATGAGCCAGCCATCGTCCAGGCTGCCTTACACTCCACAAGGCATCCATCGCTGCTGGCTCTTGTCTCTGTTCCCCACTGTAGGGTGGGGATGGCTGCTATATGAGATCCAATGAGGACGGTGTAGAAGAAAGGAACAGAGAGCAAGGTGGAGCTTTGTTTTCAGCCCAGGGATCCCAGAGACCCAAAGAACGACCCCAGCTTCATCCCTAACCAAAGGAATTGTCCAGAAAGTGGACCAGACCATCCTGCTATAAGCCTGCCTTCTTGGGCTGGTGAGATGGCTCAGCCTGTAAAGGCACCTACCACCAAGCCTGGTGACCTGAGTTCAAAGGTGAACCCATCTCACAAGCTGCCCTCTGACCTCTACACCTGCAGCAGCAGGCAGGCACCCTCTTCACCACGAAACAAGTTTTTGATTTAAAGAATGCCTTCTCATCCTATAGTCCTGGAAAGTGGGAGCCCAGGCTGGAAACGAACCATTCCCAACCCATGCAGAGGCAGAAAGGGTCAGGGCTGCATAGAACAAAGGAAAACAATGAAATGTTTTCAAACTTCTCAAATTTGTCAATGCCTTTGATTTCTCCTGATGCTCAGTGACCCATCCGAGCCATAGTGCTGCTCTGCTTATATAGACTACTCACTCTATGCCCAGGAAGTATGTATGTATGTATGTATGTATGTGTGTGTGTATGTATGTACATATGAATCATCTCACTTCATTCTCTGTTCAGCCCGAAAATTTAGTTCTTGTTCATTTTATAAACAAAGAAATGGTCCAGAGCATTTACAGGATGCTCTGAGGATGCAGGATAGGCTCTAACAAGTTTATTGTGCTCTGGCTGCTGTTAAGAGAAGTTGTGACCCAGAGTCAGCCCCTAAGGCAGACACGGTGGTACAGGGATTCAAACTTGGGTTTTTGTTTTTTTTTTTTTGTTTTTGTTTTTCCAAGATAGGGTTTCTCTATATAGCCCTGGCTATCCTAGAACTTGCTCTGTAGACAGGCTGGCCTCAAATTCAGAGATCCTCCTGCCTCTGCCTTTTGAGTGCTGGGACTAAAAGCCTGTGCCACTACTGCCCAGCTTCAAACTTAGGTCTTCTAACTACACATGTACGATGCTTCCCAATGGATCCCTACCCTGCCCCCCAACATACACACACACACACACACACACACACACAATGTCCAATAGACTGCATGAACCAGTCAGAACCAGTCCAGAACCCAAAGGCAGATCCTTTGAAACCAATATCCTTGGCTCAGCTGCCAGGAAAACCCTGTCAGAGGGAGATAGGATTAAAACAACACAGGACGCTGGAGTAGAGGCCAGAGAATGCAATGGAGGGAGTGATCTTCAAACGAAACCACCACAAATCTCAATAAACCCAAGAGTGGGACGGCCCCCGGAGGGACTGCAGGAGTGGGAGGATGAGGAAGTCAGCACAGGTCCCCTCCGTCTGCTCAAGAATAACACACTGGGGCTGGAGAGATGGCTCAGAAGTTAAGAGCACTTCCAGAGGTCCTGAGTTTAATTCCCAGCAACCACATGGTGGCTCACGACCATCTGTAATGAGATCTGGTGCCCTCTTCTGGCCTGCAGACAGAACACTATATACATAAAAAAAAAAATAAA